TGATTAGCTCATTTGTTTTCTTTAAAATAATTAACGAACAATAATCGTGTAGACCAATTGAATGATTATCCGATATTTTATTGAAACAAATATGAGGAATACCATATAAAAGAACATAACATTAAAAAAAACCAATGATTACTTAATAGTATGCTTTATTTTTACACATTATCTATATAGATTCGATAGCAAGTCACGTATTAAGTAATATTACCAACTGAATATTCTTTAAGATGAAATTCATGCCTTGAAGGGTATGTCAGTTAGTAGGTTGATAGATCTTCTATAGACTCATATCTACTATTAATTGAGAGAAACAATTAAGCCGATAATTGAATATTATCTACAATTATTTAAAGTCAAATTTAAAGAGATTTTTTAATTTGATGAAATATTTCGACTAGAAAATGATCTTTGTGAACATCGAAATCTATTATCAAAGAAAGGAAGAATAAGTCTACCAAATATAGAAACTATAAAAAATCCTCTAAGCAGACAAGCAAATAGAATTAAAAAAAAAAAATCTGAATCCAAGTCTCTTGCTTGATAAAGTCCTCTTATTCGTCCATAGTAAACATCTCCATAACTTCTTACATATCCATCATTTACTATTAATCAACAAAAAAAAAAAGCTTCTTAGCGCAGCTCCTTCAGAGCTGAAATGTGGAAGTGACGCATATCGTTCAACCCTGTTATCCTAATATATCATCCGTAAACCGAAAAATTTCTCGTCGACTATAATTCTTTTCACTAATTATCGATAACAAGAGCGAGAATTTATTATTTATTTCTACATTTAAAAAAAAAAATTTTTTATTTTTTCTACGGTCGCCCTATTTTTTTGTTAGCATTCTTCCTATTCGTTCATTATTTTTCGTTTTTTTTTTTTAATTCGTGTTTTTTTAATTTAACATTCGTTATTATAATAATCATTGAATTAATTGACAAATAACTCTGCGTTTACATATATACGATATCTAGAGGAGATCTTAGGCACCATCATATATTAATCAACTCAAAAATAATCATGTTGATTATTTTTCAAAATTATAACTTTATCAATTTGGCAAAAAAAATATTCCTCAAATCTGACACCTGTTATTCTCCATTGCCAAGGTCTGTAACGGAGGATATGTCTCTAATGTTCTCTTCCGTTGCTATGTGTCTGTAATGGGAGCCTGTCTGTAAGGGGAGAGGGGTGGGACAAGCCACCAAACCTCGAACTTAAAACTTACACTGGCTATTTTCTTCGAAAATCTAGGTGAGTCTCACAATAAATGTCAATTATATAATGGAGCAGATCGAATTATATTCGGTTGTAGATTATCGAAAACTATTTGATCAATATTTAAATATGTTTATCTACGACATGGTTTAATTATAACATAGAACAATATTTGACTGTCTATATTATTTAAGAAAAAAATTAAATATATCTCGCATGTTCTATCAATATGACTTAGGTCATATAGTTATATAATTATATGGTTGACTAACGTTTTACTTGATTTACATGAATAGCTAGATATGCTATTGGGAAGAATAGTTTCAAGGCACCTATAGAATCCGATTATTTTTAACTGTTTTATTTTCATGATCGTTTTTTATGAATTTCTTAGACGATTGTCGATAGAATGATTGATTAATCAAGACCATAATATTGAAAAATTATGCTTTTGATATTTATCTACAATCCATTCCACAAATCAATATGATCAGAAAAATTAAAAAAAAACAGATGTTAATTTAACCACCAAACAAACTGTAGACACAAATAGAAAATATTGTTATAAGTTTTTTAAAAATTCTTTTCAACTCTCTTATTGAATGTCATTCCTTTCATATTTCAATACCGGCTTTCGAATAAATCTTTCTTTTTTTCTATTTGTCTTAAGAGATTATAGAAGGATTAGATGCATATGATTTATAAGGTTAAGGTCAACTTTCATGTTAGTCTATATTAATACGAATTAAAATAAATATTTCTATCTCGATAGAATGGTCATCAGAGATGTCCATCGCGGCGCTGCCGCTGCCACGGTGGCGGTGGCGGCAGGTTTTTTAAAAAATTACCGCGGCAGTGGCGCGGTAGCGGTAGAATTTTTAAAAATTATCGCGGTAGCGCCGGGTTTTTTAAAGAACCATCGCGGCAGCGGCAGGATTTTTTTGAAGGACATTGAAAAACTGCATGAATTTAATAGAATTTCAGGGTTTACAGATAGAACACCCCGAGACTGAATGAATCTGGTGGACTAGTACCAATATCTGTGGTCAAATATAGTTGTAACGGTGAAATTAGAAACACTTTTTTGAAATCCGTCGCGGCACGTTTATTTTACAATTCATCGCGGCAGCGGCGCGGCAACTCTTTTTTTATAAGTCATCGCGGCGCGGCAACATTTTTTTTTATGAATCGTCGCGGCGCGGTAGCCCTTTTTCTTCTAAGACCGCGGCGCGGCAGCGGCAGATTTTCAGCCGCGATAGACATCTCTGATGATCATTCAATATTAGTATAGATAAAGTTTATCGAAACGTATGTTCAAATTTAGAGTAAAATCAATGTCTAGATTAACAAGAAAGATTTATTTTTTTTTTTCTAACTTATACGTTTTATTGAACAAAAAACAAATTTCTGTCTTTCTAACTTTGATCGTATTTGCAACAAAAAAACATACAAACTCTCTACTATTTGCTAGAAATAAAAGAGAGTATCAATAAGTTCAACTACATCTTAATTACGTCTCGTTTTATAGTAAGAAATTCTAAAACAGATGCAAGTTTTTTTTTTGTTTTTTTTTTTTATAAAGTTCCATTATGATTGTTTCCATTGTTAAGAGTTGTCGTTTTATCTGAAAATAATTTCGAATCTTTTGTTATCCTAATGATCTTGATTTAACATCATTATTACAAAATCTAATTGAATTCGATGTCGTTATTGAAGAATAAATTGAAATAATTTGTGAGTTTGATTAAAATATGAATAAATGCCTTTATCTATATATCTCTCCAATTGATTTAGATCATTAAAAGATTGATCAAATTGATAGAATTTATCTAATAAATATATTCGTAGATGTTTTAGATAAAATTTCCTTGAACATTATAGAGATGATTAAAATAATTAGCCGAGATTCTAATAGAATAATTAAATAAATATACACAAAAAATTAATAGATTTATATCTAGTTTATATATAGATTAATATGCTTTTATTTTATTTTAATTTATCTTACTTTTTATTATCAAATAAATAAAGAATTTATATTATATATTTATATGATAGTTTAGCAGAAAAAAATCTTAGAATTAATCTAGAAAGAGTTCGAATATTAAAATAAATATTCGTATAGATGATATATAAACGTTGAATAGAAATAAAACCTGAATGATCATAGTTAAATATAAATATTCTTCTTTTATTAGTTCGACGTATTTACATATAATTAGTACAAATAAATGAAGATGTTTATGAAAAATAAGAAATAATTGACACTCTTATCAATAATATCATCATTCGGGTAATGCTCTTATTGAATGTTCTCTAAGAAAGATAGTCATCTACTTAAGATATATTATCATTACCATATATAGATTTAGTTTAATCATGTGCATTATGATTATTATATCTATATAGAACGTTTATCAGGTGGTCATTTAATCAATAAAATGTTTATAGAATTTTCAATATAAACATAACAATTATATAATGAAATAATAGTATATATAGTTTTTCTGTTCGATGGTTTATAGCTAGTTGAGATAATTTATCTATAATTAATAAATGAAGTCTTTTATCAAGGAGAAGTATTGGAGAAAGAAAAGCAATGCGTACCATTCTATCGGTATCAGCTTCTCTTATATTAATTCCATGTGTCTGACATACTAAGTATCTTATTTGTAACATTCTTTAAAGAAAAAAAAAAATTTTATATTGACCACGTTATTGATCACCACGGTTTCTTTGTTAAAAAGTACAGTGTCTCTAGTGCTTGTAGTACTTTTTTAATTCAAATAAAGGGACAAATGATAGGTTTTGTTTCGCGTCTATTTCTATGTTAGAAATAAGTGAAACTTTTCAATAATTCACAGTTACGAAAAATATTCTTGTTTTTTTTCCTTTAAAAATAAGCTAGTAGGAGTTTTCGTGGGAAGGTTTCAATCTACACTAGTACAATAATTGACTTATTCGTCTTCAATTTTCTTTCTAATAAAATGAAAGGATTAATGAAGAAAATAATTGGAAATTTTTTTTTTTGTAGATATCTAGAAAGATATTTTCTCTTCTATTATTTATTTATAATCTGAACTAGTTTTTAGAAATGATCTATTTTAACAGGATGACAGATTTCATAATATAATTTATAGTAAAACTCTTTTATTATTTTCTACTAATGACGCTATATTTAATTGCACTACTATCATGTTGAATTAAGGTGACAATTTTCAACAAATTATATAGATTATTGATTATGTTCAATTATATTTCAATGAGAAATACTTTCTATAAATACGTTTCAAAAAAACCTCACTTAGAATTTAATTCGTTTTTTTTTTCGTTGTTTAAGGAAAATAAAAGATAACAAGTAGTATCACATCATTAGTATCAACAGACACTCTTAATGACTTCATAATTAGCAAAATATAACATAAAATATTGGCAAAAAAAGAAAAGAGAATAGTGAAGTAAAATTCTTTTTACTTTGTCTAGAAATTTAAGTGAATTGAATGACATTAACTATTGAGATATTAGATTATTCCAATGAATTATTCAATCTTGATAATATCTTGTTGATAAGATCACCTAAGTTCTTTGAATAAACATAATTCTATGTGATCTTTCTCGTATATAGCAGATCGATCGAATCGGTAAAGATTTGTTTTGTTTAATTGAATCTGTATTTATTATTTCCTCCATTAACATGATAAAATGTTCTCATCTAAAATGCTTAAAATTGTAGGTTGGTGTTTATACGATAACAGCATTAAGTATTGAACGTTCTATGGATGTTCGTGAAACAGCTCGTCGTTATAATGATCAAGTAAAATTAGCATTAGTATTATCGTATATAAGTGTTTTATGGATATTTGCAATATTATTTCCATTACCAATGTCGTCATCATTATTTGTTCATAATCGAACCCGAGCTGCATTAGCATCTGGTGTAAGTGAATGTCGATCAAGTTGGACACCTGGTGAATTATCTCGTTATGTTCAATTAAAATTTGCTTGTGCATTTTTACTTCCATCATTAATCACATGTACATTTTCATTTCGTTTAATTTTATTTCTTCATCGTTGGTCAATGAGATCTCGACGTTTATCATTATCACATCGTTCATTAAATGTTTATAAAAGACGTGCAACAACACTTGTTTTATTAATAATAATATCATTTTTTGTTCTTTGGTCTTCATTGTGAATTCTTCAACTTGATGATACATTTAATGGTCGAGGGCCAACACCCAGGGGTGGCGCGAGTCAACCAACATTAGGGGGGGTGTAGCGAAATTTTTTGGACTAGAAAGACGAAATCTGCAATTTTTCGGGGGGGTGTAACATTGTTTTTGGTGACAAATGGAAGAAAATTTCCTGATTTTGTTGAGCAAAAAAACAGAAATTTTTGAAGATTGGGGGGGTGTCGCACCCCCGACTACCCCCCGGTCGCGCCACCCCTGCCAACACCTTATATTCAAATATTAAATTTTGTCACACTTATTTTTGTTTATGCAACTGGTTTATTAAATCCATTACTTTATTTAATTTTAACACAAAATTTTCGTGATTATATTCGAATAAATAAATGGTCACCATGGAGATATAAAAAACGATCAACAAATAATCAGAATACAATCATTTATACAACAACACCAATTATTAATGGAAATGGAAATCAAATTCGAGATCACCCAACAAGTTTTATTATATATAATCAAGATTTTATACAAACTGATGGAAGTTCAGCAGTGATTTAAAGTCTTTTTTTTCTCGATTTATGTATAAACTTTAAAATTTTTTTTCTGTATTTCAACAGTAAATAAACAAGTCTCGGTGGAGTCTCTTCTCAAGTAATTCTTTCTTTTTTCATTTTAAATAAATATAAAAATCAATTAATTATATCGCAAATTGATTACAGTAACTTGATACTCAACCACAATTCTTTGACAAAGTCTTATTAGACAAGTGGAGGGTGTGGCTATTATGTTTTCATGCTAGTACAAAATACTTTACTCGGTTTCTGTTTATTAATTGATACTTTAGATTTTCAAAGATATTCTATAAAAAAGAAAGACAAGACAAATAATTTATAGATTAGTTATAATACGAAAAACTAATAACTTAGTCTTGAATTATTTTTTAACAAACTCAAAATTCGTTCAGAGAAAATAAACCATAGATACACTATCATGGCTCTCGAGTATTTTCACAAGTTTGGAAAAAAAACAGAACATCAGAAAGGGATAAGAAATATGTTCAAATTCCAGAAGCTGTCCTGACCTTTCATTAGGTCTGGCAATCCTGACACGAACAGTTTTAGGGTATCCTTAGTTTCACTAAATTCTATTTATAGCCAACAGATGATATCGATTAAGTTTATTTTGTAGAGTTGCTTTTTTTTAGCAGCTTTTAGAATATAGTTTTAAGGAATTTTTCTATACTTGTTGATATTCGCTAAATGGAAGAAACATCTAACAAAACGATTATCTTCAAATGTTAATTTAATAACAACGAAGATAAATACTATGTTGTCTAAGCCAATGCAACTAGATAACGAGAGATATGCAAAAGAATAATTTTTTCAATTTCTTTCGGATATCGAGAAATATAGATCAAAAAAAAAATCTTCGTGATGAACAAAACGACAAAAGCGGATTTACCTAGTTAATTTGATATGGATCAATTTTTCAAAAATCGGATAAAATCAGTTCATTTTTTAAAAATTTTACTTGATTTTCTCCTTCACGAAATTCATTTTGGTTGTTTTCAGGAAAAAAATAATAATAATGGAAGTCATTTACAACTTGATTTTCCTAAAACGAGCGTAGCTTTGATATGATCTCTGCGTCTATTGAATGAGATAACTAGTATATTCAAAACATTGTTTTCAGTATTTAAGACATCAGAAAAGAATATATGTTAGATGAAGAGTGAATGTTTACTTTAAGAATTTGAAGATGTACAAGAAAAAAAAGAAAGAAAAGGACAAAAAAATATATTCATTCCGTTTCTGTCCTATACGTATGCACATAATTGTTATTCATCATTATATCCACTGGGTCTCTGCAATAAAAAAAAAAGAATGTTTCGGGTTGGAATATGATACTGGAGAGAATAAGAAAACTTACAAGATCCAAAGTTTTGATAAAACTAATAAACCATTTCACTTTTCCTGTTATGTTACCATCTTGTTGTAATTTCGAATTTTCAAATTGTTGCTTGAAATTATCGAAAAATACTGATGTCGTTCTTATTGTCATAATCATCTGGTAAGCTTGCTCTAAATTCCACTTCAACATAGCTTGTATTTGAAAGACGAATTTGTGTATCTCTATTATAAAAATAATACAGATATGCGATGATTTTTCCAGATATATACAGAGGTGAAGGAGGAGAATTTTAGAAGATAAATGAGTACATATACACTAGCTATGGCCATCTAAAGGTCAACGGACACGTTTTCCAAATAACAGAGAACAGATATAAAACCTCTTTCCTATAGTTTCTTGGCAACTAAAAGATGCTGAACGACAGTAAAAACTATGCTTAAACTCCTGTGCAGCGTTCTAGAACATTTTAAAGATTTCATCAACAATCAATATAGGTGTTTCTGTATTTATTAGGATACAGGATGAAATGTTGGAATTTATTAATTTGTCACAAATCAATGTATAAATCAAGCAAGGTGGAATAAAAACAGAAGATATTTAGCTGTTTAATAGGAGGAAAACGATATAATTTAGAATACCAGTAAAAAATCTCTATCCCAAATATAAAAACAAAAAATATTGTTTCACTGATATTCGACTATTTTTTGGGAACAAGTATCATTTCTCAAATAACCTTGAAATCTATAATTTAACAATAAAACTAGATTCAGAAAAGAGGTTTACTAGAAACCACGAGATAGTATATTACCTTCAGCTTTGATATCCATATTTTTCCGGAAGAAATGATGGATCCGTTGAGTTGTAACATATATATTGTCTATACTTAAATTGAAGATCATCATTTGTGTTGTTTGCACGATCAGTACATGCACGACGATCAAAATTGTTCTTTCTTTTTACACATTTTGATGCGGATGCACTTGATTCACTGTCATCTTGTGTACTACTGCTGCTACCTTTTAATGAATAAACAAAAATAAATAAAAATAATTGACTCAATATTCTGTCTAAATATGAATTTTGAATTTAAAGACACTCACGAAATTTCACTTATTTCCTTTGTAGATTGTATTTCTACCTGGATTATGTCGATTTGTCTTATCCTTGTTCATATGTGTTTCACATGCTTCACGGAATAACTTGATTTCGTTTAATAAGTTTGGTTTAACAGTATGTACTCCTGTATGATGCATATACCAATATGATTTATCGTCTGTACTAAGATCGTCGTACAAAGACAATAATTGTTCCTCTAAACTATTACATTGAAGAAAACCAGCAAATGTTTTTATCCCTAATGTTAAAATTATAACATCTGCCACAGTTGTTGGAAGATGTAATTTGACGAATGTTTCAAACGCAGAACTGTCGATTGCTAGAATAGCTTTCGGCTTTTTACTCATTGGGATTGTATCTATAAAAGAGAATATGTAGTACGGTAGTTGTCTGATGATATAAAGCATAGGGAGAAATACCAATCAAAGTCGAATGCACCATCTATGATGGTTCGAGTAATTCATCAGAAAAAAAAATATGACAGAAACTATTCAAAAAATATTCTCTTCGAAACTGTGTATTGATTTTTCGATTAAATCGAGTCCCCACTCGATAGATGATGGTAGAGGCACTGATTGTTATAGAAATGAATCGTTCAATGGCGTCGCTTTATGTCATACATGACAATTTCTTCTCATTATCTCTTTTAGTATCTATACTTTTACAGCATTATAATTTTTATAAAATAGATTAATCGAGTCGCATATAACCAAGTTTCATATGTTAAAATATTGTTCGATTATAGGACAAGATAATTCATTATTTTTATTTTCAGTTATTGCTGTTTTATTAGTGTAAATAAAGAAAAAAAATATACGACTGGTAAAAAAAACCTGCTATATTCTGATAAGAAAGAGAATTACTGGAAAACACAGACGTTTTATTATTGATTTGTAAATGACATCATGCGTAAGAAGGAAAGAAAAAGAAATAAGCTTAGGTTATAGTCATTTGTTTTTCCTATATTTTCGAACGTATTCGAGTAGCGCGGATATATTTCGCCTTCCTCTTGCTATAGAGTCCTCTTTCT